TAGATTTTTTTTCAATTCTCTTGTATTAAAATACATTTTATTTCTCGCCAAATACGTTATGGCGTTGTTCTGAGGAAGAAGAAGAAATAGTGACTTTTTCTTTCAAATGTTTCCCATTAATTTACCAAATAAACCTAGCCTAGCACAAGACAACATAGTCAGTAATGATTGTATATATACGACACTAGCGAAACAAACATTTCTTTTCCGAGTTCTTGATTTCTAAAGTTTGATCGTGTTTACTAGCCAAAAATGGTCGAGCGTTAAAAGACATATCCTTCAGATAACAGTGGGCATTTGCTTTCAGAATGGTAGATAAAGATAGGTGCCGCCCTAAATTAACTTATTTAGCCTCTTATATAAAAAAAAATCAATAAACCTGTGTTCAAAGAATGAAAAAAAAATACCCTTTCTTGACAATGAACTTAATTTAGGGGTGAATATTAATCATATTGAACAGTATACAGTCAAAATTTTCGATTAAAATTCATATAAAAACAGCTACGGACTTATTGATCTGACCTTCTCATTTATCAGGAGTTACAGAATTTAAGATAAAAGAAATACTAGCTTACAATAATTAACAATGTGTGTGTCATCCAGGAAAGTTAAATAAAATATTTGTTACAATGTTTTTCTTATTGGATTAAAAAATATTGAGATAAGCGCGAAGGCCAGCAGAGAAAATGGCTTTGTCACTTGCTCAGTTGGTTGTTATAATTGTTGTTGTTATTAAAAAAAAATAGGACGTTAGTCTTTATATGTCTGAAGGCAAATGATTTATATTTTTCAAGCGTTACTTGATTGACTTTTAGCTGTTAAAATCAACTACACGCGTCGAAATTGCTGACCATTTAAGTGTAAATGGTTTTGTAATTTCTTCTTGTTTACTTTACTGCTTAATTTTATGTTTTTGTAGCGGCGGACTTTCATTGAATTGTTTGACAAACGAACCTGTTGACATAGATACCAGAGACTGATGTCCTCTCCTTGACAATGTTTTGTTTGCTTTCATAATTAATTTCCCTTTTCTAAAATCACCTACAATGCAAACAATTCAAATGCTTAATGGTTGGCTTTGTAAAAACATTGCTTTGCTGCGATTTTTATTGATAACAAGAATACGATACTTCTTTGTAGAAATGTTTGATTTTGAAATGGCTGCTTAAATCAGTATTTTGTGATCAAGATTAAGATTTCTCTTTTCTTTCTACTGTGTAACCAGTTGACTTCTCAATGGATAATCAATATTTAAGGCTAGGCCTAAGATATATTTGGTGCATGCCGTTTCCTTAAAGTTATTATTTTAATTCTGTAACTACATATGCGTGCGATTCAGTTACAAACAATCAACAGCTTCTTTGATATGTCATATCATTTCAGGATGTAAGACGAACAACTTCCTACTTTTGTTACTCCTTGTTCATTCATTTAATGAATGTCAAGTAGATTACTCGTTGTTTTACCTTCCGCCTCTTAGTAAGTCACGTGTATGTTATATTTGTCAAATTATTTTTCTCATTATGTGTCCCCAAAATTTCAGTTGTCACTTTCAATTAGCAGCAGTGTCTTTGTAGTTCCTAAAAAAGACTTAAGAATTTCGTAGAGATTGGCGTTCAAGACCGGGTAAAAGCTAGGATTTCGAATGCTGATTTTCAAAATAGGCAAGCTCACTTTACTTGGTTTCTGTCCCACAATTTGTTTGTTTCAGACTTAGATAAAATTTGTAAATATCATAAAGCTTAAAACTGAAAAAGGTTTATAGTTTGAGCGAAGAATAAATAGTCAATACGAAATTTCGTTTTTGGTAGCATCCATTAAAATTGACATTTTTGATTGCAGGAAGAATATTTCCAAGGTCACAAGTGTAGGAAACTCAGTGGAAGTGGGCGGGGTGTCTTTCATGGGCGATAAATTCGAAACTTTCAGTTTACAAAACTGATATCTGCAAAAAGTAAACAACATAATTTTTTATAAACATTAATATAATAATTACCTTATTTAATTTATTCATATTTGAACTAATATGCTCATCTTTGTTGTAAGTATCACAACATTTCGGCCGTTGTGCCATCCGGCCTTCTACTGATCTAGATAACTTTCAGGGTATTTTGAACTGAACCATTTTTATTCATTCTATGGCAATAGATTGTTTTCTTTTTATTGTCTACATCTCTAGGGATATCTCATCTTTGGCTAATTCCCTTTTTAATACAGTTCCCCTAGTGTTAGTCCTGTTTCCACTGATTCTAACTATATCCATATCACCTGGACTAGGAATTGAATTCAAAAATTACTATTCCCACTAAATTCACCAAACATGATTTAATGCTCTAGGCATTGTTAGTAAATGATTTAATGCTCTAGGCATTGTTAGTAAATGATTTAATGCTCTAGGCATTGTTAGTAAATGATTGAATAATGGGCTCAGATCGAAATTACCTCAAGGTTACTCATATCAACAGACTCCTGAAGAAGGCCGGCGAGCACAACGACTGAAACATTGTGGACATTAGTTTGAATGTAAATAATGTAAATAATAACTCCTTATTCCAGAAATTCAGACAGAAATAATTACCTTCACATTGGCCATAGAGCACATAACGACGAGAATTAGGTACCCAACAGGCATTAGGAAGAAGGATTATGGTTAGTGGAATGAGCATGAGCCTCACAGGATCCCTAATTATTGTGGCCTTATGTCTGCTATGATTAATGAATAACTTTTTTTGAATAAAAGTCATTTTTTACTTTCGACAGACAACAAATGTGCAATTTCCGGTGATTTTGTTTCTAGTATTCTATGGATTTATAAAGATGCAAAAATAATTGGCATAGAAGGCTGCAAATATGGCACTTTGGTAGGAGGAGGTCTGCTGTAAAGGTGACGGACAAAGTGCGCCTGAAAACCAATGTTTACTTAAGTTTGGAAAAGAAAAAATTCTTCTGTACAAGGCATTTTATGGAGCATTATTGAAATGAAATTTGTTTATTTTCTTCATTTATTGGCTACATTTATTTTTCAGACATGCACAGAAAACAAGAAATTTCTTGATTTTTATATTTTTAAGATTAAGTAAAACTAGTTGACTTACCCAGTACGTTTGGAAGCAAAAAATGTTTACAGCATTCATTTTTTAAAAAGAAATCTCTATTGAAAATGATCGACATTTTTATATCATTGATTACAGATTAAAATATTTCTGTATGCTTCCAACAATTCAAGTAGTTCTTTTAATGTCATTTTTTACACTGTTCTCCTTAATTTTAAGATATTTTGGTGAAAAAATAACCCAAAATAAATAAATGACTGAATTTGACAAAATACACCTACAAAAATTAGTCTGAATTCCTTGACACAGATTCTATAGTCTAAACACTAATTTAACTCCGCGTTCTTAAATTCATTCTTATTCAAAATATTTCCAAATATCCAAAGTGATAATTCATATTTTAATAAATTTAGATGGCTGTTGGCAGTAGAGAGAAGAAAAGAAAAGCATTGCTTCAAAATGACTTGTAAAATTTGAATTTTATTGTTCTTTTGTAGTTTTCTAATCTACTTTCATCGTAATGTAAATATCAACTTTCTATAAGGAATTGTGTTAACAAGAAATTGCCTCATCACCGGCTTAAAAAGGATTAATTAAATTCTAGATGACTGCTATTGACAACATCCAAACAATCTTCGTCGTTCACTGACACATTACGTTTGTTTAAAAAGAGAAAATGATTTTACCTGTGGAATTTTTCTAAATTTATTTTTAGACAAAACAAAAGAAATCCAAACAAAAACAAAAATTTATGAAGTGCGCAATACATGATTGGGTTTATTAAATTTTACCAATTTACAATCGTAAAAAGCGAAACAAAACATTTAGCCAGAAACCCTCCTCTCTATCTCCCTCTCCTCTCTCGATATATATATACTAAAGACATTTTTATGTTTAACGTTGTTATTTATAGATACAAGTATTTAAGCAAATGCTCTGTTTATGATAAACAGTATTAAATAACATTTACCGGCCTGAATGTCCGAGAAATTTTTGACAGGATTCGAACCTGCATCCTATACGGAACCGTCATTTACGCTGACTTGCCTTAACCGTCTCGGCCACAAAGAACATTTCGGTAGAGAAGGTCGAATTTACTGCTTATAAACTTCAATCTTCCATGAATCTCGTACATTCATAACTGCTCTGGCGTATCAAATGTAAACAAATGACGTCATATATTAAGAAATGGACAAGGTTTATCATAAACAGAGCATTTGCTTAAATACTTGTATCTATAAATAACAACGTTAAACATAAAAATGTCTTTAATAAATAAATTGTCGGACCTTGTCTATTTCTTAATATATATATATATATATATATATATATATATATATATATATATATATATATATATATATATAAGCGTTGATCAATAAGCCCGGCTGTCTGAGATGTATACTATTTCATTTTCAAATGAAATAGTTCCGATTCAAATGAAAAAACAATTTAAAAATTTGAATTGGATCAACAATATACAAACAATTAAAAAGGAAAAAAAGCAAATATTCACAATTCATTATTGGAAAGGGGACAAAAATTTGAGTTAAAAATAAACAAAAGGAGGGGTTAATGAGAATCTCGTAAAGGATCGAAAATAAAACCTGGGGCTCCGGATGCTACAATCACTAACCTAGCTAAGAGTAACATGCTTCAACTGGAGTTTGTGCTGGAGTGAATATCACCCCCCTCACTGACAGTTAAAGATTCAGAAGAGACATTCAAATTTGGATCCTTTCACACAAACCAAATTCGCATCATGAGATGGAAGGGTAAGAAGACTTCGGACTTTTGTTGGAGGAAATTATGCCAATTAAAGATCTAAATTTTATGTATAAAAACCACAATCTAATAAAAAATAAAATAAAAAATGTTTTCAGTACATTGACATATTATTTTAGAATTTTGATGCCACTTTAAGCATTTAATTTTTTTACTCGACAGTCCGATCTTGGAAAGCGCCGGCCTCGAAGTTACATGATGCCTGATCACTGGATATATGGCCTTCAAAACCCTAGGTCTTCTGGTACTGTATGTCAAGGTAAACCACAATTCTCGGTTTTCTTTTTTTTTCTCCTCAAGTCTTCTGTAATTAGTCTGATGAAAATTCAATATTATATTCTAATCTTACATATCTGTAATCAGGAACAAACATTAAGGTTTTTAATTTTCACATTTCTTGAACGCTTTTTGTTATAAGAAAACGTCGTATTGTAAATGATCAATTTGCAGTTTGAAAACTTTCTAATCGAAGTTGATTTTTAATCACCAATGAATTTAATACTCAGTTGCGGTCTTTATTCATGTTTATCGATTTTGATTCATGCGTTATTGGTTTCCAATTCTTTTTTCTAAATTTGTTTTAAAGCTAAATATTTCGCAGTTAATCTAGGGAAAATTGTCATTACAAAATAAAACTTTTTTTAACACCCAGCCAATCTGATTGTTTGTATCTCTTCAATTCCCGATTCATCAATAGAAGACAACGAACTGGGTACATAGCATAATGCAAACCAAGTAGAGTAAGTTTGATTCTCACTGGGTGGCTTTCACTTAACCTTGCACCAGATTAAGCTATTTTGAATAAATATCTTTGAGGACTGTTTATTTAGAGAGATGATTTCCTGTTTTGCAGGTGCTAATGATCAGCATTTTTATAATAAGGTAAAAACCACTATATCAAATACTGGGGAGAGGAGGGGGGAAATATGGATCTGTGTCAGTTTTTCCTCTGACATCGCTTTTATTTTAATCAGTATTTAGCAAATATGGATCTTTGTGCCCGCAAAAAAAAAAAAAACAACCCCAAAATACCCCCCAAAAAAAAAAAAAACAAAACAAAAAGCAAAATAAAATCGGAGTGTCAAAAGGGCGTTTTCTTCCCATATCACCGCTTTTGTTTTAACTACCTTCACGCTGCGGCAGTGTTTATTGTTTTAAAAAGCGATGATTAGAATTGTAATAAAACCCAGGCATATGAAAGTGAATTTATACATTTCCTTTATTTTGAGAATTGACAACAAAAATAATAAACACTATTTATTTATTAGATTGTTTATTTACACTATTTATTTTATTGTTTATTGTTATTTCTTTATAAATTGGTAAATGATAAATATTGCATGGTTTTAATTGTATTAGTTTTTAGAATTTTGTAATTTCAAAATCATTCTTATATCTAAGAAATAAATAGTGTTTAATATTTTTGTTAATTCTCATAGAAAAAAAAATGAATGAATTCATTTTCATCATACGTTTTGTTTTATTACAATTCTAATTATCACTTTTTAAAACAATGAACATTACCGAAGAGTAAAGTAGTTAAAATAAAAGCGGTGTTATTTAAAAACTGTCATTTTGACACCAAGTTTTTTTTTTTGAGGGCACGAAGGTCCATGTTTGCTAAATACGGATTCTCAAAGACAGCATTTTTGAAAAATGTAAAATTTCAAAAACGGGGGAGATAGGAAAATAAGGCAGTAAAAAAGTGTACATGTCATGAGTCATAATTTTCGAAACATCGTCTTTCATTGGTATTATAATTTACCAATGACATAACGATGAGAAACAAATAAAGAATTTTTTCTGTAAATTCTGCGAAAGGAAAATCGCAAAAAAAAATGTATCAAGAATGTACGTAGACTCAAGAATTTAAGTTGGTGCATAACAAATAATTTCTTTATTTTCATAATAATTAAAAAATGGTTTGTGTTAATTTTCGCTTTTAAAAAGAATTTTTGACAAAATTTGAACCAAGGGACATAACTTTATATTAAAGTTATCTCCCTTGATATTAATCACTTGATCAGCTGTGGAAATTGATAACTCACGCACAGGGATTTTTCCTCATTTCATTCCTATTTCAGGAATATGTTTAACGCCAATAACAGTTCCTGGTGTCCGCAGCTATATTTGGGGGGAATTTTATCAATATTTAGATGGTTCCATATGCATTTTAAGTCCTGTGTGGCTACCCAATCTAAAAAATAAAATTATCATATTGACTAAGGTTAGCTTTGTCTGGCACAAAGCTTAAAATATGGATCACCAAATGAGATTTGGTTTGTAAGAGAAGAATCACTTTTCTACAGCAAGGTAGTTCAATAAACAATTATGTTTTAGATTATATTTTTACTGTTCAAATCAGTAACTATTGAACAAATTAGAACAAAATTTAGCAAACACAATTTTGTGTGTTGTCAAATTGATGTTGATGGGATTTTAAAAAAATATTGCTGGGTACGAATTCAGTACTCAAGGGTCTGAATTATCTTGAAAAGAAGGAAGCGTAATTTTTCAGTGCATTTTTCAGATTAATAATTTTGATTCATACAATAGAATCAACGACAATCCACATTACATACTAATACTTTTTGGTGGTACTAATTGAAGATAATTAGATTTTATATATATCTATATATCTTTTATATATATGTAGTGATTAAAAAAAAAGAATGATGAAAATGGTCGACCGAATACTTATTATGCCATTTTAGATTTTCAGACACCACCTGAGAAAGTGTAAAATCTTTAAAATTGTCCCAAAAATTAGAAACAAAAAAATATTTATGCAATTGGAAAATTTCGTGCGTATTCTCAGACTGTCATTTTGTTAAAGTGGGTTTATTTCTTTGTTGACTCTAAAGCAAGGCGAATCCGAAAAGGATTATAGGTATTGCCTAAAGCAAATATAGTTCAATCCGTTAGTCAGACTAACATTCGAAACAATATATGTTTGAAGTTTTGAAACGAAGCATTCTTACTATTATACATTGATTCATTCAGTTCAATTTCCTCTTCATCGAGCTGTAATAAAAATATAAAAGGCTATAGAATTATTAACTCAATTTATCTCTACCTATAACTTTGCTTTCTCTAACTTTTTTTCATTGAATCACATAATTTTCTTTAAAAGATTTTTCTCTCTATATAAACCTTCTTGTATGTGTCGTGTCCCTTCAGGACATTGGCGATATTGGCTCACCACAATTTTCTGTCCTATTGTATGTGAACCTACTGTATTTTTAAATAAGTGTATATATCTTTCAATAATTAAACAACCCGTATAAAATTATGGTTAACATTCCTTTGATAACTATATATATATATATATATATATATATATATATATATATGATAACTCCACTATCTTGATAGTAGGTTACAAATATTAATATTTAAATTTTACAACGCTCAATTTCCAATCCGCGCCTGACGATTGCCTTGTTCATGAAACTCAGAGGTTCAGCAAACGATGAAGTGCATATTTAGGCAGCAATTTTTCATTAATGCATGTTTCATTAAGTAATATAGTCTATTTATTTTAAGTAAGTTCCTTTCATATTGTCTGATAAGCTTAATCACATTATCATTGAAAGACGAAAAGAAAACACCATGTTGATACATGTTTACATCCAATCTAAGCTTTCGGCATACATAAGCCATTATCAAAGATGACAATTTCAATGTATCAAACAACACACGGATGAAACAACAATGATAGTCCGCCCTTGCTGCATGAAAAATTTGGAAGCAACGACAAAACCGTGTATCCGAGACGCGGAGGTGAAAATCGCGTCGCAACTCGTGACGTCACACATGAACACGCGAGACTGAAAACAAGAAATATTAAGTATGGTAAGACATTGGTCTTATAAATTATAGGCATTTAAGAATATTTGTGGAGATTTCATAGTTTATTTTGTTCAGGTTAGGTTTCAACTGTTTTATGTCTAAAGTTTCAACAATTTTTAATTTTTGTTTATTGTTTTCATGTTTAAGTATAGTTGTGTTGTCCACAAGGATTTTCCGGAATTGAGTACGCGGCCAGGCATATTGTTTTAGATTGGATTTAAAATAAATAGACAAAACTTGTCTATATTATTTGATGAAACATGCATATATATATATATATATATATATATATATATATATATATTGTGCTCTAAGTAAATGCGTATATATTTTCGAAAAGAATGTTCAACTTAGAAAAAGCAAAAACGATTTATTCAATGAAGTCACGAAGTGTCGGTGAATGTCTTGATGCAGCCTCGAAACTGCTTAAATGGAAAAAGTAACCCTCGTTCATGTTGGTCATCACGTCCTCAATGGCTGCTGCTTTCAATGATTCTTTGGCATTGAGCGGTTGGGAGTGGGGGGGCTGTTGTTTGGCTTCTTATTTTCACCAACACCTCAGACATTGTAATTGAGGGGTTTCAACTCAGGAGAGCGAGGAGGCCACATGGTGAAGGAGATATGATCGCGAAATTTCTCCACCACCCATTCCTTTGTCATATGGACCATTTATAAGTGGGGGCAGGGAAATATATACGTCCACTCCATCAATCCAAGCCTTGATCATTGTGATAATTACCTCGGTGTAGGTGATGGTACTGGCTGCCGAAACTCTACGGGAAGAAGAGTTCTGATTGACTCTTAGGACCATCATAAACAATGTGAACTTGGTGTGCAACATCGTTGGGTACCACTGTGGGTTAATGCATAATCATCTTCTTTTCTTCTTGTTCCCTTTCAAGAAACTCTCAGAGTCGTTGTAGTTGGCAGACAGTGCCACAAACATGGCATTCCCTGTCATTTGTTCTATTAGATAGTAAGCTACCATGGAAATTTACGTTTTAAAGTGAATATTAATTTTTGGTGGTTGCTACATATTATTAGATCTTTTTTCATTTATGATCCGCTGAAAATCTCTTCTCAAATACATGTATATAACTATATGAATGCATTTTGTAGCTTTGCGTGGTTGGGATCTTTCTGACGCTGTACTGGAAGTGAAGGCCCCCGAGGCAAGCGAACGTAATTTTATGGCGCTAAATAAGGCCGCTCTTCATAGAGGTTTGGTCACCGCCCCTGAACACACCCATTTCCGGTCATTGAATGATATTCGCAAGAGTCTGACCAAACAGGTCGTGCCGAGGTGCAGAAAACAGAACATTCCTGCAAATGCAACATTTGGAGTTTTTCCCAGGTGAGAGAAACGTTTCATTTAATGACAGAGCTTCGGGTAGGGAATATAGACATTGCCATTAAAAAACAAAACTGAAAACGGAAACCAAATTTACAGAAATGTCTCATATAAATTAGAAAAAAATCCTGTATTTGTATCGACGGTGTGATGCTAAAAATGTGTAAGTGAATTTTTTTGTGAAATGAGAAAAACAGCTTAAAGATAAAAAAATTCAGAATAAAAATGCGTAATAGCTTTTTTGTAAAAATTGGGGTCTAATTTCAGAAAAAGGTTTTGTATTTGAACATTGTCTATGTCATTCATATGAAGATCAGTTTACTGAATTCAAAAATGGAAAATATGCAAAACGAGCGTATGTGAACTTACGCCATATTAGAATCCATTGAGCAATTTTTCCCATTTATTTTCTTGGTTGTGAATACAAAAAAGATCAAAAAATTGTCTGGTGTTTGAGTAGATATTCTATGATCATTGTTTGAGCCAGGATTCTGTGTGCCGTTTTCGAAGCAGTCAAAGCCTCCCTACATTGACGCAATAAAATTTCCCCTATACATTTTGGCTTGAAATCAGATAGTTAAACCTAGTTTGCTTAGTGAGGGGAGATAAAAGTACAATTTTTCATCAAGGCCATTCGTCATAAATTTTAAAATAAATTGAATTTGAGTCAACAAACTGTAAATTGAAGCAAAAAAAAAAAAAAAATAAATAAATAAAAAAAATAAATAAAAACAACAAAACATAACATACAAACAAAAAACGTCTGGAATAAAATTTGAAACTTGATCTGTCTTGGAATCATGACGATAATTTTATAATCGACCAAAATTGGAGGAATTCAAAGCGTTTAACTCTCTCGATTTTGCTAATGTAACATTTGAGAGACTGAGCAACATGAAATTTAATGACTTTATTAATTGAATTTGTTTTCTTATTGAAGACCGTCTACGCCGATCAGCGAAGTTTTAGCCAACAGATATGGCGACAAATGGTTACAGACCCAAAAGGATGATTTGGTAAAGGAGTTAAAGAAAAGCAGCAAGATGAAGGTAAGTAATTTTTTCTTTGATGAACACACATACAGATAGAAATCAAAGAAGCTAAACAGACAGCCATGAATACATTGCAACTGAGGTAAATATATGTGAAAAGATTGAGGCAGATAGATAATAACAAATTGAGACCTATTTTTTTTTATATATACATATAATTATATATATATTTTTTATATATATATATATATATTATATGTATATATTTATGTATTTTATATTATTTATGCACTTTTATGAATATATGCATATATATATATGTATGTGTGTATTAATATATGTGTATGTATATATATATGGGGAAATATATAGGTATATGTATGTATATGCATATGCCTTACATATGTGTTACATTATGAAATGGACAAAGTCCGACAATTATTTTTTAAGACATTTTTTATGTTTATACGTTCTTTTTATAGATACAAATATTAATAGTAAATATTTTATAGGATACAAATATTAATAGTAAATGCTCTGTTTATAATAACCGTCATTTTGCCTGACGTGACTTAACCGATTGTGCCACAGAGGAGCGTTCGGTTAGCAAGGTCGATTTTACTGCTTTTAAACACAATTCTCCATGAATTTCTCTCATTCATTAATATCTGATCAATGCGTATCCATCCTAAATTGGAATTCGAACAACCTTTGATGCAAAGATTGCTTGAGAAGTATTATTGAAGCGTTAAAATGGAAAAAAAAATTCCGAAGAACCTCTTATTAACCCCAGATTTACAGTAAACGTGCGAAAAAATTGGGGAGCGTTCATGCATTTGCACTTGCAGTTGAATCAATCTCTAACGCTTCATCCCTATTTCTGTTTGATTATTAGACTTGTGAACAATGCCATACTATTTGAAAGTTATTATAGGAAATTTACTGAATATCTAAAACATTGAAACAATTTAACCCAAGCAACGACCACACACGAAGATTTTATCGATGGAGTTCCCTTATTAAGAACAAACATATGCGAAGGACATACCGTAAAAAAAGATAAAGGGGAGTAGCTTAGTATACCAACGGATGATGCATGCAAGCGGAGATGCAGGCAGACATTTTTAGACAGACAGGTGCCGGTTTACAGGGGGTGCGGTTAGACAATTGCAGCCATGTACACTCGAGCAACGCCGGGTGCCTCGGTTACTATATATATATATATAAATAAATAGAGTGAGATGGATATATCGATATTGAAAAAGATCGATAGACTGAGATGGAATGATAGATAAAATCAAACCGAGATAAACACACTGAAATAGATAGATATAAATACGATGAGATAAATATATGGATGGAAAAAGACTGACATAAATAGATTTAAACAGACTAAGATAGTCACATATAGATATAGATAAACTAGATAGATAGAGACTAATATAGATAGGTGTAGAAAGAAATATAGATAGATACATACAGAGTGTGATGGATATATTGATATAAACAGTCTGAGATAGATAGAGAGAGAGAGAGATATGAACCGATTGAGGTAGATAGACTAAAAACTAAGACAGATACATAGACACAAGTCGATAAAGAGATAGTTATAAAAGGGCAGATACATAGATATAAACATCCTAAGAGAGATTGATATAATGAGAATGCGATAGATAAATAGATATAAACATAGATTTGTCGATATAAAGAGAGATAGATATAAACATAAATAGATATAAACAGTGGGATATTATATATACAGTAAGTAGTGTAAGTGTTGATATGAGTGGTGGTAAGAGGGGAAAGGAAGGGAAGAAGAAAGAAAGGAGAGAAATGATAACCTAGTTGTTATTACCCAGTAGTAATCAGACAGTAGTTTAGACTTAAAAAAACCTTCAGAATTAATGAAAAAAAAAAACACAAAAAAAAACAATATACAAAATAATAAGAGATAAACCCTAAAATATGAGAGATAATTCAGCATATATATATATATATATACATATATATATATATATATATATATATATAGTCAGCATCAACTATTCACTAACTGACCATGAGAATGGAAAACAGTGAATATGAACATTAGCTGCCATATTTAAGTAGAATTATATGCCATATTAACAATGCTGGATAGCCAAATTTGTTTTTAGGATAGGACAATGTGACTTATTTTAAGTTAAAACTTAATGTCATAGAAGGGAAAAATACAAATAAATCCCATTCCTTTCCCTCGGTAAATACGTCCACTGGTGTCAGCTTTGACTCCTTGTCAGCTGCAGCATTTTTTGTATGTTGTTGTCGTTGTTGTTGTTTGTGTTATATGTAATAGGATTAGGTAATCCTCCCGCTTCTTTTGGACAAGAGTAGAGGCTCACACCTTGTTTCTTGTTTAGGAAGGGGTTCCCGGAACTCTCCCTCTCTTTCTCCTGGCTTCTGTACTAGTGCTGCCGTGTTTCTCCCGTGATGTGTGCAGTCTGTGGCATTACCTCTTCATACTGAGGGTACACGGTTGACAGTTTCCGACTGGTAGTTAGAAGCTGTAACTCTTGCATAGCGTCTTGGGCGGCCGCTCTGATCAATAGTTGTATAATACCGGGGTGTCTATAGTGCCGTGTTGCGCATCGAAAGGTGTCCTTGCATTCACCTCCGGTGGGAAACCCTGAGGCCACATTATGTTGCAGGCTGTGCTAACTTCTCGTCTGCTTCTTTTACTTCAGGCCTTCTCATTTTTACAACCATAATTTCACATGATAACTAACGACGATCCAAAAAGAAAACCTAAACCAGCCCTTAAAAAATCACCTAAACCTTTTAACATTTCATTTTCCAACATCCGTGGCATTAGAACCAATTTCTGTAGTGTGGAATCTTTCCTCATTGCGAAGTGCCCGGATATACTGGCTCTCTGTGAGACCAACCTTGACTCGTCTATCCCCTCCTCTGCCCTCTCGATCCCCGGCTACCTTCCTCTCCTTAGAAAAGACTCTCAAACCCACATGCATCGCCTTGGAGTTTACGTCAAGGACCATCTCTAGCTAGCTAGAGAGTTGTCTCTTGAATCTCTAGACCATTCTTACACGTGTCTCCGGCTATCTCTTGTCAATGCTGTATGCTACCTCTTCTTCCTTTACCGCTCTCCATCCTCCCAACACTGTGGTATAATCGAATGCATTTCTGACAGCATTGACAAAGCTCTCTCTATCTATCCGTTTGCTCACATATTCGTGTTTGATGACTTTAGCGCACATCATACCAAGTGGCTTAAAAACGCTACTACTGACATTGCAGGCATTCAAATCCTTAATTTTTCAATTTCTCAATCCCTCACGCAGAAAGTTGACTTCCCCACACGTTTTCCCTAAAACCGGGACGGTAAGGATTTTCTTCTCGATCCATCCCTCTTGGAAACTCCGATCATGCTGTAGTGTCTATCAACATCTCCTTCAACTTGTGAACTGGGGCAGGAATTGGCTGGTTAACTTTAATGCCTCAAAAACAATTACTCACCACAGAGAACCATCCCTGCCCCCCATTAGAATGTCTGACGCTCGAGAGCACCTCTTTGCGACTACTCGGCCTCACATTGACTGCTTCGTCCACCGCAAGGAAAATTGGCTCCCTGTGCTGCGCTAGGAAATTTTTCTCGCCGGAGTCGATCCTTCAAATCTACAAATCAACCATTCACCCTTGCTACCATATATGGTATGGATACCCTTCTGTTTGTCTCAAGGTTCTTGATAAAATCCAGAGACAATGTAATTGGCCCTGATCTGGCATCTCGTCTGCAGTGACTTTTTTTTTACAAATACTTTCATGTTAACTGCCCCGGGGAGCTGCTTTCGCTGGTTCCCAGACTTCTTGAATTTAAGCGTTCTACTAGGCTAGCATCTCGCTCACACTCTTTCACTGTCGAAACTGTTAAATGTAGCCGTCTCTTCTACTCCAATAGCTTCATGTTTCGCATTTCTCGCCTTCGGGACTCCCTCCCCTCTTCCTGTTTCCCCGATAGCTATAATCTCCAACTATTCAAATGTAATGTCAATCGACGTCTCCAGATACCCTGATCTATCCCCTATCCTTCTCTTTATCCTTTCCTCTATCACTCCTATTTGCTCTGGCTCCAACTCTCTGTAACCCCTTGCGTGCTAGTAGGCTTTAGCCTTGCTTGGGAAAACGCCTTAATATATATATATATATATATATATATATATATATATTAAGCGTTTCACCCCAAGCCAGGGGCAGGAAGCCACTATATATATACAAACTGAGATATAGATAGATATACACAAACTTAGATATGAACAGAGGAGATAGGTAAATGGTTATAAAGAGACTGAGATAAAAGCTGACATATATATATATATATATATATATATATATATATATATATATATATATGTGTGTGTGTGTGTGTGTGTGTGTGTGTGTGTGTGTGTTTGTAAATACAAATAAAAAAAAGAACAGTAAGATATATAATCCGGTGTTCTTATTGCTATTTTTATTTTTACAAAATAGTGCTCAATGTAAATTTACAGAGCATTAATATTATAAATTAACTGATTTAAAATATGTTTTTTATACATACTTATACTTGATATGAAAAAATAATTTTATATACTGTAAGTAATTCTAGTACTTTTACTTGTTTTAAAAAGAAATATAGTCTATTAAAAATTAAAAGTGTCCTTTATACATACATGAGAAACTATATATTACTAAGTTTATAAAAAAAATATAAAAAATAAAAGTTTACTAAATCAGAGAAATGAATTAGCTATTTTTTTGCCGTCACTGTCATAAATTTTCCTTAAATAATATTTAAAAATAAAATTTTAAAAAAATGTGACCTGGTAATATACATAATTATACTAGATATGAAAAAAATAATTTTATATACTGTAAGTAATTCTTGTACATTTACTTGTTTTAAAAAGAAATATAGTCTATTGAAAATTAAAAGTGAAAATATTTTAAAATTGTAGCTAAATAAAACGTATTATAACGTAAACATCCCAAAAAAATCTTTAAGTATACAAATAGAAAAATGCTGTAAGAATTTTTTGCCGTTAACAATAAAATTAAAAAAA